AACGGAGTTCCTTTGGAATTCTTCAGTTTTTAAGAACTGCGGGGTTTTCCGGTAGTGGGCGGAACTAATGCGCAAACGGCAATCTCATTGGCTGGTGCTCACCTAGTATCGTCCCTGTTTTGATTTCAGCAAATCAGTTCGAGTGAACACTCATTAATCCTTAGTGCGTTTTAAATTTAAATCCTTATTAATAGAATTCATATCATTATTATCTTATCAGTATTTTTGTTAGTTTTTCCCCAATTTTTTACAGAAACACTGAATGACCAAAAAGCACCACCACCAGTCAGTTCAGTTAAAATGACTAATGCGTTCATACATGGTTATCAAGTTTAAATTCTAATTACTAAAGTTCTATCATTAAATAATACTTGATTATCATATTATAATGCTTGACTGACTGATGTTAAGAGTGTACGTTCAGATATTTAAAAACTTTGCCATTTTACAAACATTTTCATGTACAGTCGTGGTCAGAATTGTTGGCACCCTTGGTAAATATGATCAAAAAAGGCTGTGAAAATAAATCTGCATTGTTAATCCTATTGATCTTTTATTTAAAAAAATACAAAAATATAACCTTTCATTAAAGAATAAGAATTTAAAATGGGGGGGAAATCTCATTATGAAATAAATGCTTTTCTCTAATACATGTTGGCCACAATTAATGGCACCCTTTTATTCAATACTTTTTTGCATCAACCTTTTGCCAAGATAACAGCTCTGAGTCTTCACCTATAATGCCTAATGAGTTTGGAGAACATCTGACAAGAGATCAGAGATCATCTTCATCCAGAATCTCTCCAGACCCTTCAGATTTCCAGCTGCATGATGGTGCTTCTCCTCTTCAGTTCACCACACTCATTTTCTATAATGTTCAGGTCAGAGGACTGGTATGGTCATGGCAGAATATTCGTTTTGTGCTCAGTGACCCATTTTTGCTTTGATTTTATGTTTGTTTTTGGATCATTGTCCTGTTGTAAGATCAGTTTAGCCCCCCTAAAAGTGGCCTAGCAACACCCATGCAACTAACTGAAATAAGTTTAAAAGTTACAAAAAATATTAAACAAACAATAAAAATGGCATAAGCGCATGACAAACTTACTTGAAGTTAAATTCAAATGAAATCTGAACATATAAAAAGCTAATTCAAAATATTTCTAAGTGCTACACTATAATAAATACTACAATATTATAAATAACACCATACAAATACTTTCAATCTTGAATTTTATTAACATTTTAAATATCATACAAACATTTATGGTTATGGTAAAGAAAATTGTGCATAAACAAGTGCAGTTGTGTTCTAACCGACAAGGGATGTTTATTCATTAATTCATATAATTTGTTTCATTCATTATAATTTGTTTGCGTTGTTTTTCTCTCTTGCAACTTTATAAAATTGGGCACATCTGATTTCTCTCGGAGGGACAGCATTTTATTTATGACAGATATACTAATGCAGAACGCATAAAAGAGGTTTAAGATGTAGGAATAGCAATAGAATGAACAAAACAGACTGATAAAAAAAACAGTATATAAAATTTACCCGTGATTCACTATCATATTTTCTTAGAGTCTCTGCTTCTCGTGGAGTTGGTAGATCCTTGCACGCAATTTGTACGGCGGTAAAGTTAGTTAGTTAGTTAACGTTTGACATTCATTAGACATTCGGGTTTTTGCCAATTAAACTCTTTGCAGCTTTTATGTTTTGAGCCAAAACTAACTCAGACAGACATAAATATATGCCCTTTATGTTGCACAAGGCTTAATTTCTAGGAATTAAAAAAAAAAATTTACCATTTAAATTAATGAAACAATTTAACTACGTGACATTATAATATAAAACCAATACTAAAATGTTCGGGAAAACATACCTGTTATCACACAAAGCTCCGTTTTTGGAATAATAATTTTACAACTTTTAATGTATGCAATATTATAAATCCATTAAACGACAACACCATTTAATCTAAAGGTAAATTTAGTACCCACTTAAATTATTTAAACTCTGACACAGTTTGAGATAAATGTATCAAACCAACTGAAAAAAATCACTAAATATGATTCACTATAAAGATTCGTTTTTCAGATTATTATTATTTTTTTGACAGTACTGAACCCATTTATATCCATGAAACTTGAACACCATTTAAGAAGGAATAATATTCTGAATATTTTACAGTTGGTTTGATACCTTTAGATTAAATGGTGTTGTCGTTTAATGGATTTATAATATTGCATACATTAAAAGTTGTAAAATTATTATAAAAAACATAAAATTGTAATTCCAAAATCGGAGCTTTGTGCGATAACATGATAAAATGTTATCCCGAACATTTTAGTATTGGTTTTATATTATAATGTCACGTAGTTAAATTGTTTCATTAATTTAAATGGTAAAAAAAAAAAAATCCTAAAGATTAAGCCTTGTGCAACACAAAGGGCATATATTTATGTCTATCTGAGTTAGTTTGGGCTCAAAACATAAAAGCTGCAAAGAGTTTAATTGGCAAAAAACCCGAATGTCTAATGAATGTCAAACGTTAAACTAACTTTTTTAAACTAAACGTACATCAGCATATCTTCAGGAGCCGAGCGTCCGTGAGGATCGTTATGAAGAACAGGATGCCTATTGGCAGGCACAGGTAGAGCCAGCAGTGCAGCAGTTTCCTCGGGAGTTGTGCAAAGGCATGTGAACACATATTTGAAGAAGATAAGCATGGCTATGACTGACAGCTGTCCTGATGGGCACATTTCTGAGTACATAAGTCGAAAAGACCGTGTGCCGAGCATATCTGCATGTACGCTTAACGGAGCACATGGAGTGATGCTGCTATAAAGCACCACCGATTGAGAAAAATCTCCGCTGTTCAGCGAACAAGACACGATGTGTCTGATATCCGCTGCTTCGTGTTCTCAGTGGATGGGGCAGAGGAAAGGGAGGAACCATTGGGATTCTCCCACAACAGAAGCCTCTGTTTGGAGAGGTGCAGCGCCCCTCTATGTTTGCATGCATATATACTGACATGCGTTGGTCTCATATTATGTTCCGTATTTAACTTATTGAAGCCTTAAACAGAAAGAATCTGGTGTAGAAATGAGATGATTAAATATGACAAATAAACAGTCGTTTTAAGGAGATTCATTTGAAACAGTTTAAAGGTGTGCGGTTTCTTCACAGGAAACTGTGTTTCGACCACTGGATGACCCCGAATTGGGGGCGTGTCTTTACTGTAAGTAAGGCTATGTATGAGTCTATGGTCAGGAAGCACTTACTGAACTCTACACTGCACGCTATTTACGCCTTCTTTAATAGTATTTTCTTCCTATCTAAACTTCACTCGACTCTGGTCCTCGGTAAGATGCTCTTCTGTCTGATAATGACATGACAACACTAGCGGCTGGAATTATTTTATATCTAAAGAAAGATAATTTTATTTGTTTCATTTATATATCAATATATGTATTATGCATAAAGTCTGAGTTACTGTATTTAGAATAGTCGATGTGTTTACCTGCATGTGTTTGTGTTGATGTGGAAATAGAAAGACACCCTATTTTTACACCGTTTATCATATGATTGCTATGTCTGTTAGACTAGTTTAAGTGTTTATGTAGTTAATAAAACCTTACTTGTATCACACTTGACGTGGTTCATTGTTTGCTCATAACTGGAGTCACTTAATCATGCAGATTTATGCTACAAGCTTTTGTAGAATTGTACAGTAAGAAAGTTATTTCCTTTAACCAGGAAATTAACGTTCTTAGAATTGACAAGACAGTTGACCCTGAGAGGTCAGCTAAATATCTACAGCGGATCTAAAATATTCATAATTAATTATAACTAGTTATGGTTAATTATTCATATTTCCCATGAGCTGATTCGTTACAAATGTACAGTATTTATTACTTACTATATCAACATTATATAGGAAAAAAAGTGCCAAAATTCACAAATCTTTTCAAGATATCAATGAACATTCTGAAAATTAAAATTCTGGCTTAAGTAAATTTTTCATCTCTGTTTTTATTAATCATATAAAATGAGACAAATATGCTATTATTTTAATCTCCAATCTGTTATTTATCAGTTTAGATTTTTTTAGATATTTTAGATATTTTTTGTAATGCTTCGCTAACTAGCAGAAGACAGCAACTGGTTTTAAAAAATAATTTACACGATTTACTTTAATGAATTTTAATGAGAAACAACGAGAAGCAGGCGAATAAAGACTGACAGTCAATGTTTAATGTTTAGAAATTATTATTTCAAGACATGTAAAGCATTTTGGCTCGTTTATGTGGGCCGTTCCAAGCATGATTGCAATGTGTTCATTGTCAAACTCCAAAATCAGATTATTTGTAATTCTTAAAAAACGCCATTATTTTATTTGAAAAAAGTAATTTGAGTGCTGAATTATAGCAAAGGCAATCTTAATGTAACAATCAAGGAAATGAGGAATACAAAAAACAATAAAGACCAATCCTGAAAAATAAAACAAAACTAATAACAAATCTAATATCTGATTATACATTGATTGAAGTTACTTTTTGTAATGTCTATTCAGTAATTTTCTCTTCTGCAATAATCGTGGCTTTTCTTTATTTTTGACCATTTCTCAGACATATAATGAAGTACAATTTAAAGATATGCAGTAAAACTAAAAGAACAAAATGATAAACAAAACCGCTAATGAATTAGAACGACAACAAAACAGTGATGGACACGACCAGTGGACCACGGGTGTAACGTGGCTGACGAGACGTGAGACGTGTGGATCCATCTGCAGGCTTTATTAAAGAGACGTGGTAAACAGGCAGGGTCAAAACAATGGCAAACAGGTATATGGCGGGCAAAACACAAGAATAGTCCCAGGGCTAGCGTAGGTCACCGATAAGCAGACAGAATCACAGGGGCAAGACGAGAGGGAGACATCCAGGAAAACAGGCAAAGGTCAGATACCGCAGAAACCGGCAAGGCAAAACAAATGGCAACAGAGCGCCGCCCTTAATCAGACAACTCAGGTACGATGGTCTTTTTTGTCACTCTATTTAAAATCCTGTTTGGCCTGCTGATTGTTGCAGTGTTTTGACTGACAGTCGTTGCATTTCAGACAACTGTTGAAAAGATTGGTGTGACGGAGCTTCAGTCAGAGGGGTGAGAATCTCTAACGCTGGAGAATTCACAGGGAAATTCACTAAAGATTCACTAAAAATGCACCTGCTGATGAGTAACAATATAAAAGCCAATTATTTAATGTAGCAAACCACATGTTTTAACATCATTTAACACTTAACCTTCAACCTTTATAACATCATGCTTTATATACAGTAGCACCTGGTCTACTTTGGACAGTGGGTGGTTACATGGTTGTTGCGTTGTTCGGTTTAGTGTATGGTTTTTATGGTTTTTCATTCTTCAGGGAGTTTTCTCTGTCCATGTCCATTGAAATGCCTTATGAGATCATCAACTTGAGCTCTTCACACCGCATCAAAACCAAGGTTATTAATTCACTTTTGTGCATTATCTTACTAAATACTGTATTTTCTGAAGAAAAAGAAACATTCAGTTATGAACCGTATTAACAGTATTAGTGTTTTCCCCATTCAGAGGACAGACTGTAAGGCAGTGATCAGCACGTTACCGGGACAGACTCTAGGATCTGAAGGGTTACATGTGTCCTTCAGTCTTTCTAATATCCACATGCCCAGGATGTGGGTCGAGAACCATCCGGATAAAGATAGTCAGGTAAAGAAATGATCACTCTAATGTGTTTTCCTATATTGCGAGCATATTGCACACAAAAATTGCCTCTCTCCATCTTACGCACTCTGACAATAATGATCTGATCCCTGCAGGCCTGCATGCTGGTGTTTTATCCAGACTTTAAGTCAAGCGGGGTGTCCAGCTCTGGAGGTCCGTCCAGTGTGAGCGATGTGGTCATTCTACTGGACTCCTCCAAGTCCATGCGGGGAGACGCCATGCTAAACGCCCGCAGGATTGCCCTTCAAGTCCTCAAATCTCTGGACCGCTCACTGAAGATCAACATCATCTCTTTCAGCACTGGTTAGTGCTCACTGAAGCGATCTGATATTGTTTTATTGAACATCACGTGGACATTTTCATTTCCCTATTATTCTTGTGAGTCAGAGTGAAGCATTGTGGGTAATTGTGTGTTTTTACAGATTACAAGGAAGCTTTTCCTGCACCAGTGCCTTTAGATGAGGAATCTGAAGCAGCCAGAAAATTTATTATGGTGAGGAATGTTTAAAAATGGTTAAAGATGGTTCTGAATCTCAGTTCCTTTGCGTCTCATTGCATTTTCCCTCTCTTCAGTCGTGTAGCGGCTCTGGTGGCAGCACTGATCTGTGGCGGCCTCTCCGGATCCTGAGTCTGCTGCCTCCCTGCAGGGGCGTGAGGAACGTCCTGCTGCTCTCTGATGGACATGTTCAGAACCAGCCTCTGACCCTACAGCTGGTCCGAGAAAACTCCTGCCACACGCGCCTCTTCACCTGCGGACTCAGGTCTGCCTTTAAACAAATCTCTTTATTTTTCTCCTTCACTTACAATGAATTTCTGAGCCTACAGTTTGATTGTGTTTGTGCTCGTCTAGCTTGACAGCTAATCGTCATTTGCTCAGAGCTCTGGCTCAGGCAGGTGGAGGAACATATGAATTTTTTGACACAAAGATGAAACACACTTGGACAGAGAAGGTGAATCACTCTCTTTATTATATTGTTTTTTTAATCATTTAAAAGGAAACATAATCTTTGCAATATGGGCCAGTCTGAGGCTTGAGTTGAATATATTTGTGGGTAATTTCAGGTGCACGCTCAGGTTCAGCGTATTGAGTCTCCAGGCTGCAGATCAGTGGCAGTGAAGTGGCAGCAGTTTAGTCCCACAGCGCCCCGTCCTGTTCAAGCCCCTTCACAGCTTCACGCCCTCTTCAGTGACTGTCACTCTCTGATATACGGCTTTGTGCCACACTGCACTCAGGTAGACAGACTTTACTTTACTAAACTGCATTGTTACTTATTGTAGTTGTTATTAGGAGTGGGTCATATATTGAATATTCACAATCAAATTAGGCAACATCATGAATGTAGTGGTAATTTTAGTGTTTCTTCAGTGTTACAGTTAGTTGGTATGTTTTTATTCATTTTATGAATCAGTTCAAATTGTTTCAATGAATTGATTTAAAACTAAATCAACAATTCATTTGCATAATCACTGAAAAATGTTCATGAAGACTGTATGTAGATGTATCAGGAATGTATTGATACATCAAAATATTTCAGTAAAAATATATGTACTGTAGGTAAATACTTACGTTTTTTACAGATTACTTTTATATTTGTGCCAGTGGCATGCAGTAGTGTAGGGAAATATTTTATGTAAATTAATGTTCCAGTTCCAGTCCCCTGATTGGTGCATATAATAAATGAAAATAATTAAATATAAATTTTTACAGAATTGTAGTTTTTAATTTTATATTTTCACTGAATCTACTTGGCTACAATGTTTAAAAACATAAGATTTACCATGACAACTGTGTAATAGTAATCAAGGCTGTAAAATATTAATACATTTTAGCTGAATTGCACAGTTATTTGTGTGGTTATTTATTGTTTTGAATTGTGTAATATTTACTCGTTTAGGCCACACTGTTTGGTGATTTGAGTGGACAAGAGATCAAAACAATGGTTTCCACCACAGAACTACAAAAGACAAAGGGAACTGTGAGTGAGCATCTTAAATACTTCATATAATCTGAAACCTCATCAGTTATTCATTAGGTGTTTGAAGAGTTGTGTGTGTGTGTGTGTAGTTCCTTCACAAGTTAACAGCAAGAGCGATCATCAGAGACTATGAAGATGGCATTCTAGGCAACAGTGAGGCAGAACACGAGGTACAATATTTGGCTGCATGAGGATCATTTTTATATAATTGGCAGATTTGCTAACAGAAGAACTTGACTTGCTGTCTTTTATCTCTCTTCTATCAGGGAAAGAAAGCAGAGCTGAAGTCCTACATCATTGAGCTCAGTAAAGAGTTCTCCATCTTGTCCCAGTTCACAAGTTTTGTCGCCATTGAAGAGAGGGTATGATTACTGCTAATGTAGGGACTGATGCTAATCATAATGTAAAATTAAACATCCAGTTTCAGAATTAATGCCAAATCTGTATTGAGTATCGTATTGTTTTCCCCAGAAATACAACATTTGCAGCTCGGGTGGTTGACGGACTTAATCACCAATGTATATAATTAATCTGTAATTAAATCTGTAAAAATAGTGTGTTGTATCTAGGTAGTCATGCCATAATAACAAATAGTTCACACAGAAATTGTTTAATATGGTTAATAAAGAAAAAAAATTACATCTGAACACACAGGGAATCACTTTTTTCACAAAACGGCAGAATCAAAGTAATTATAAGTCAAATATGTCATGAATTAATTTCTGTGAATTGTTTTAATTAATGCCCTCATTTGCTCTTTGCAGGACCAGAATGAGCTTGACACTGGATTCAAAGATATTCCTAAAATCATATCAGAAGAGAATGTGGATATTTTGCCATATATGGGCTGGACTGAAGAGAAGCTGAAGACTGTGCATATTATTGTTGCTGAAGATGACATACCGGTAACAATAAAATGCTCTATTACAGCTGTTATGTAATGTGATATAAGTTAACATCATTCAGTATTCAACTCTTCAGTATTCACAACAATGATTTTGACTTTTTTTTTTCAGATGGAATCAGAGCGATGCAGCAGTAGCTCCACATCTGAAGAAATCCTGGGTTCTGCTCGTGAAGCAGCCGATTTTGATGATGATGATTCAGAGGATGACTATATATCTGTTAATGATTTTATAGAACAAGCATCAGCAGCTAACCGTGCTCTTCCTCGCTTCCTCACTCCACGTTTTGAAGGTAGCACTGACACTTTCAGAGGCTGTCTGAAAACTAAACCTGTTGTAAGATATCACCATCACCCTGCTATCAAGCATGGTGCATTAGTGGATGCTCCCAGTCCCCCTTTTCTACAGGAGTTAGGAGAACCTCTCTACATGGATAACAGACTTTTTCATCCTCCTCCTTCTGGTGGTGCCTCCATGAGTGGCAGACATCCCCCTCCAGATGCCTCCCAGGTTACAGCCCTGATGCCTCCTCTCCTTGACCTTCCCTGTTTCTATGAGGAAGTGGAATCTCTCTTAGATTACAGCCTTGCTTTCCACGCTCCCATAGGTGCCTCAGTGGATGCTCTTCATCCTCAATGTCGTCGTCGCCGTCATGAGTTAATGGAACCTCCCTCCATGGGTCTCCCTCCCCCTGCCACCCAGCTTTCCTCTGCCACAGAGTTCGCCACCGAGCGTTATGCCTCAACTACTCCTGTCTTTGCAGATCTTCCTCATCCTCCTCGTCTTGGATCTCAGCAATTCATGTCCATGACTTCCAGCCCTGCTCCTCCTCCTACTCTTTTTGGCAGTGTGGGTGCATCTTTTTCCAGGAGGCACAAGGCTGCTGCCCCCATTGTCTTTGATCAACCCGCAATGTCTGCACCACCCTCTCTCCCTCGATCTGGTGGCTTTGGTGGTTTCCTCCAACAATCGAATGAGTCTTTGGGTTTTGGTTTCTCAGACTCTGGACTCTTTGGAGCATCTCTTCAGAATCTAGCCACTCTGAGTTCTGCATCTAGTAAGTTGACTCACACTGATGAGGTTTCATATGATCAATGTTGAGATGGAGTAAAAACAGCTTTCTGTTTTTTTATATTGTTGTCTCCTCTTTCTGTCCTTTCTCTGATGAAGCTACACACAGTGCCGCTTTCGCCCCGGCTCCCCCTCTTCCTGCTCACTCTGTTCTCTTTGGTCAACCTACAGTTCCCAAGTATGCTATTGGCATGTCAAATGCGGTTGCATATGGGAGCACTACTGGTGTTCTGCAAAAGACAACTGAGCCTGAACAGTATCGTGGTTTCTCAGTTTCTAGCTTTGGAGCATCTCAGCAACAACAAAAATGCCCTGTGTTTTCTGCAGCTGGTAAGTTGACTCACATTGATGAGGTTCTATAACTGATCAATGTTCAGATGGATTAAAACCATTTGTCAAACCTATGTCTCATTTCTTATTATGCTGGAGCCAAAATCATTCCTAAGCTTAGAGGGACATTTCGGGGAAAACAAATAAGCAGACCTCACACAGTGGCCTGGAATAAGCTGTTTGAACTTCAACATGAGGTGTTTACATATGATTTAATACACTAGATTACGTACAGTATGTAAATGATTGAGGGAATATGAACATATGCATTGTGTTTGGATGTAGGATGGATACTGGGAGTGCACTGACAGACTGAGCAGCTTCCTCAACCTGGACGTAGACTTTTTTGCCAATGTCTTCCTTAAGGAGAAAGGCATCCGTTCTCTTGGTAAGAAGATTGTTTTACATGCCTGTTGCTGGTCTGGTCCATATTGCAGCTTATTCTCGACAAGAACCGCCCACTTAGACAGGAAGAGACATCTGACTGGCACGTAAAGCAACTAATCACAACTGTTTCCAGACAGACTGAGAAAAACACCTGTGCCTTTACTGTGTAACACCATCCAATCATAGTAGAGCTTACTAGACTGAGAACGTGCTTTCCAGTTTAAAGTGCAATATGCATCAGGCTGAATCTGAATATAGTTTTAAATAATCTCATCTTTATTTTTCAGGCACAGTTTGTCAGTGAGAGTCAGTTAATCAGTCACATGTTTTGTCTGTCAGGTGTGAAGGCTCATGCTGACATTCTGAGGCTGGTGGCGACTCTTCTGGTGCTGCAGCTGATCCGGGTGAAGAAGCTGGCAGTGGGACAGCTGCTCGAGTCTCTCCTCCGGCTGAAAGAGTCCCAGGAGCCCAGGTACCAGCACACGTCCTCATACAGCGCAGTGATTTACTCTTGTATTTTTGGATCCATGACTTTCTACTCTTCTCCATTCAGACCGTTGTACTGGGAAGCAGTGAAGAGGGCCGTGGACTGGGCCTGCCGGACAGACAGACAGTATCCGTGTATGTGCAGCAGGCTGGAGATCGGCTGGGATTGGGAATCATCTACACGTCAACTACTGGGCTGTGATTCTCCACACCCATATTCCCCACTCAAACCTGTTCTGGAGAGACGTACGGGTGTATCAGTCATGTAGAAACTGGACAGACACTTCCCTCTTCATTGGCAGTTGCTTGCTTCACTTGCTGTTTGCTTAATATTGCTTGCTTAATAAATGTCTTTATGAGACTTTGAGCTTTATAGTGCTCTCAAAAGTATATCTGGACTCCTGGACTTCGTAAGATGCTTGAATTTCATTGCATTTAAAAGAAAATATGAAAACAAGTGCCCTTTTTGCTAACCTTTTTTTTCAGAACTAGACATTTGTTCAGTTACTTGTAATCAAGTGTGGCTGTGATTTTTAGTGGAGTATGAAGTAATTTCTCCTGGAGTTCACACAGATGTCCTAGCAGAGCAACAAACAGCTGTAGATGCAGTATGTTGTTTTATCATTAAAAACTTAAATTCTACTTGTGAAATGTTTTACTGACAAGTGTGTATGTGCTGTCTTTTTTTAAATCAATTAAATACATTAAATAAAGATAAATCGGGGAGCGCGGGGCACAAAGTAACGGGGGGGTTAGTTGTAACACACATGGTTTGAATATTTCCACACATGCTAGCCTAACAAAATGTACAGTATTTATTACTATGTCAACATTATATAGGAAAAAAAGTGCCAAAATTCACAAATCTTTTCAAGATATCAATGAACATTCTGAAAATTAAAATTTCTGGCTTAAGTAAATTTTTCTTCTCTGTTTTTATTAATCATATAAAATGAGACAAATATGCTATTATTTTAATCTCCACTGTACTGTGGTGTTAGATGTGAAGAATCTGCCTTTTAAAGAGAAGAATAAACTGAGACTAGCTCTGCTGGAGAATGGAGGAAACATCTCATATGTCATCAACAAAGAGGTTTCTGTTCATGTTTTACTCTTACCCACCAGCTTTCTTTTTTGTGTTATCAAAACTAAAAGAGCAGCTACCCTTACCAAAAAGTAGTATACTTCAAGTTTATTTTAGTAAGTATACTTAAGTAAATTTCAAGTATATTTTTAAGTATACAAGTATCAGTGTACTAGTAGTATACGTGTAAGTGTACTATTTCAATACTCCTTGGGACTAAATTGGCCCACTTTCTAGTATATAAATGTATACTTAAGTATAACAGTTAAAGAAAACTAGTAAAGCTAAATCAGTTGGGGGACTAGTTCACCACAGTTGTCCGGTCAGAGACATAAAGATGCAGTTTAAGGTTCTTGATGCTTTTATTTTCTCCACAACCATTCCATGAATGTCCAATCAATGTTGAGCACGTAAGTGCAAGCCATTACTTTGGTGCTTCCATGTGTGTGGTCTTTAACAAAAGGATCCAACAACAAATTAGAATAAACAAATCAATCAAGTAGGTAAATCTACGGAAGTTCTAAGCGGCCATGCATTTTTTTTTTCCACTGTTCTCGGTATCTCGACCTTTTTTTTTTTACAATGATTGTTTGATCTACTGTTGTTATAGTAAAACTCAATCTGATGGACAGATAAACCATGTGCTCTTACTGTAGCCTAGGTCGTGGATATTTCAGCAAATTTTGCTTCGCCTAGTAATAACATCTACAATACAAAAATAAAGGCTGATCAATCACGGTTGATATTTCCAGAGACAGTACGCTAAACATGTGTTTGTGTAATTAGCATGTTTAAATGATCAAAGCAACACCGCAAACACAGGCGGAGCGCCTTCAGGATGCAGAACTATTCTAAAATCTTTTAGAGCTGCTTGGATTCAACTCGCTTTCAATTTTCCTTTTATTTGAAAAATGTATATAATTTGTAATTTTTAGTAGTCATTATATGCTGTGACTGATATCATGTGCGTTACAAGCTTCTGTTTGAAAAGAGCATTCATGTGTAGCTATGTGTGTGTGTGGTTTCCACAAAGAAATATAGAAAACACAAGATTACAACACTGAATTAAATTAGCCTATACACATAAAATCACATTTATTATTAATATACATTTAATGATTAACAATAAAGATTTTTATGTCGATCACAAGAAAATTAAGTCGATATAACGAGAAAACAAGAAGGGGAAAAAAAAAAAAGCATGGCCGCTTAGAACTTCCGTATAAATCCATACAATTCAAGGTAGGAAAAAAAACACTTCAAAGAGCAATCAAAATAATGAGCATACGTGACCACAATCTGTCATTACACTTAAAGTACCCTTAAACAATGAACATCAACAAAACAAATTCAGAAGGGTCACAGCTATCAAGAGCCGAAGTACATAAATAAACTTACTTGGTTCATCTAACATACGCGCACACAACACCAAACTTGAGAAAGCATCAAGTCCATTCTGCTTTCACCTACTCTGTGCGGGCTATTTCTACCAAATGCTAATCACTGCCACCTGCTGGAAATGGGCGGAGCTTAGTGTCTTTAGGTTGCTGCATTGACAGCACATTCAAACAGTGGCTGAGCGCCAGAACATTTCAAAATAAAAGTTCATTTGCAGCGGGCCTTTTTAACAACAGTAGTAAACTTTGAGTACACAACTAGTTTACATCAAAATGTTTAGTTTGTACTGCATCTATACTAAAAGTGAACTTATAGGTATACTGATAGTTTACTAATTAAATATTTGTAGTAGCATTTTTAGTACAATTTTTTTTTTTTTTTGTGGTTTATATTTATGCATGTGTATTTTATTCACATCTCACTTTTATTATCTGTGTGTTGTTGTTGTCTCAGTGTACTGGAAGCTTGTGACACTATAACAAATTCCTTGTATGTGCAAACATACTTGGCAATAAAGCTCTTTCTGATTCTGATTCTGATTCTGTGCGTGCATGCGTGCGTCACCTACCTGTACCTGCCTTGTTATGTCTACATTAAAAGTCATTATTGGAATCCTTGTCGTCCTGCCTGCCTCCACACATCCGGACCGTGACAGAATAACCGAACAACAACATGGAGATCACTGCACGTGTCCTCGCCATATCCCGCCGGGATCTCCCCTTCTACGAGTATGCCGGGGAGTTCTGCAAGCTCGCAGCGGTGAGGGCGTTAGAGGACGCCGTCCTTAATCAGCTGTTCTGGCTTGGGGCCAACTACCATCGCCCCGTGGACCTCCCAGACACCACTGGACTAAGTTGGAGGGAAGGTGTCTTCCGGTGTCTGGGGAGTGTCCGGTCCTGAGCCAGAACCAGTCCGCCGCCGTCCGCGGCTCACTCAAGCCCGAAGGATGTTAATGTGGCAAGCCCGAAGGACGATAATGTGGCAAGCCCAGAGCTCGCTCCAGCGTGCCCACCGGCCGCTGGCCTCTCAGCGTTGCTGGACTTGGCGCTGCCCCTGGAGTTCACTGCTCCTATCCTCCCCCCAGTGTCGGTTCCAGCTCCAGTGCCCGCTCCTCGTAAGCGCCTTCCAGAGAGCCCCCAGTGCCCGCTCCTCGTAAGCGCCTTACAGAGAGCCCCCCCAGTGCCCGCTCCTCGTAAGCGCCTTCCAGAGCTCGCTCCAGTGTCGGCTCCAGCCCCAGAGCTCGCTCCAGTGTCGGCTCCAGCCCCAAAACTCACTCCAGTCCCAGCTCCTCGAAAGTGCTTTGCTGTGCCTGCTCCTCCAGAGCACCCTCCAGTGCCAGCGCTACGTAAGCGCTACCCTGTTCCCCAGTTCAGCCCACGGAGGGCTCCTGTTCCCGAGTTCAGCCCACGGAGGGGCCCACGGAGGGCTCCCGATTCCCCGGCTCCGCCATGGCCTCCCGAGCCCCCTGTTCCGCCATGGCCTCCCGAGCCCCCGGCTCCGCCATGGCAACCCGAGCTCCCTGATCCGCCATGGCAACCCGAGCCCCCTGATCCGCCATGGCCTCCCGAGTCCCCTGTTCCTCCCGAGTCCCCTGTTCCATTCCAGGAAGGGCTCCTGTTCCCTAGTTCAGCCCAGGAAGGGCTCCTGTTCCCCAGTTCAGCCCAGGAAGGGCTCCTGATCCCCAGTTCAGCCCAGGAAGGGCTCCTGATCCCCAGTTCAGCCCAGGAAGGGTTCCTGTTCCCGAGTATAGCCCAGGAAGGGCTCCTGTTTCCCCGTTAAGCCCACGGAGGGCTCCTGATTCCCCGGCTCCGCCATGGCAACCTGAGCCCCCTGTTCCGCCATGGCCTCCCGAGTCCCCGGCTCTACCATGGCAACCCGAGCCCACTGATCCCTTCCTGGGCTGAACTGTTCCGCCATGGCCTCCTGAGCCCCCGGCTCCGCCATGGCAACCCGAGCCCCCTGATCCGCCATGGCCTCCCGAGTCTCCATCTCCGCCTCGGGCTCCTCCACCATTGGACGGTCCTCCTCCTAGTCCCCCTCCACTCCTCCCTCGGTTTCTACGATGCGAGGACGCACCTTCCGGGAGGGGGGAGTAATGTAACGCCCCTGTGGACTGTTTTTTGTGGTTTCTTCCCCTTGTGTTGGTTTAGCCCGTCTAATCATTAGTTAATCACCATCATTGTGCTCACCTGTCTGCCACTAATTATCCACCCCATATTAGTTCCTGTCTGTCTGAGCATTGGTGTCGGTTATTGTGAATGTTACCCCGAGTGTGTGTGTTTCACCTACCTGTACCTGCCTTGTTGTGTCTACATTAAAATTCATTATTGGAATCCTTGTCGTCCTGCCTGCCTCCACACATCCGGACTGTGACAACATGTGGAAGCATCTGTTGTTTCGGTTTCATCTTCACTTGTGTTTTTTGGAAATTCTGTACAGAAAATGTGTACTAGCGCCCCCTACAGTATAACAATGAAAACACTGATTCTGGGAGCACAATTATAGCTAAAATATATTTTTTCTAAGTATAAGTCAAGTATACTTAAATGTAATTTTAAGTATAATTCTGAGACGTACATAAAACCCATTTCTGAGAAGTACATAAAGTAGACTAAAAGTATACTTTCCTATTTTTAGTTTAAAAGAAGTATACTAATAGCACACTTGAATAAACTTCTTTTTCGTAAGGGTACTCAGAGTTTTTTTTACACGTAGATAAAGAGTTGGGTTTCAAATGACATTTACACAATTAACAAACATTTTGTTTGTTGAACCCTCTGATACTATTAAATTAAAGTAGTTAAAAAATAACGCAGGAACATTTATAATCCAATTAATGACTAGATGCAGATTACAGTTGGGTTTTTGTTTTGTTTTTTTTACTTCTGATTAAGTAAATAATAAAAAAAAGCAAATAGAAACACAACATTTTTCAATCTAAAATGATTGAACAGTACTAGAAGATTAAAATTAACTACTCTAATGCTCGACTAATTTTATGTTGTAATGTAGATGTAACTGCACTTTATGCTTTATAATGCTTAAAGTAGGTAATAAGTAGGTAAAATCATTAAAGAGCTGCAGTGTATCTTCTGACCTCCGTTTATCTTCTCCAGTGCTCTTTTGTAGTCACTAGCAGTGTGAATGACCTGAGCAGTAACCGGCAGCGCAGCATCCAGAAGCTCCAGATCCCAGTGGTCGGGACGCAGTATGTGTGGAGCTGTCTGGACCAAGGGCATCTCCTGCCTTTGACGGAGCATAATTTAGCCCCACAGCTGCCGTATCCCGGCTCTGAATTCCTTCCCCGTTCAGGTAGGAGTTTCTTGTACCTCATTTAAGGAATTCTCTTTTTTCTCTGTTAGAACAGATGTTTGTCTCGAGTGATATGTGTTTTTTCTGTATTTGTATGTATGTTTGTGCTTGTGTTGCAGTGTATTTTCAATGAGAATTGTATTTTACATTATATTTGGGTTATGTAAGTATTAAGTGAGATTAAACAATGTATTTTTATAGCACTGTATTCACCTTGTTATCATTGGAATCATAAATGGTGATGGAGGTGCTGAATTTGTCTTGTGGTGATGGGCTCTCTTTCGCTATAGACCGCTGTGGTTCAAAACAAACTTGTGTTCTGTGTGACGTCTGACGATGCTGTGGAAGCATATCTGCAGCTGATGAAGGAGATGGAGACCGAGGGATTCACAAAGACACACACACTTCCCCCTGAGGTTGAGCGCTTGGCATCCTACAGCCTGCAGCAGGTTAAATAAACAACGCAGATCTAATTTTATTCATTTGATATATGTATAACGTGTCTAATGTGAAATAATTGCTCACTCTTTTGATTGGCAGCTGCTGTTGGAGGAGAAGCTGAACTGCAGCACATTATCACAGGAAGTTGGTGTCTTCGTGGAGCTGGTTTGGACTGAAGCTCTCGGGTCCCTTAATAAAATCCTGACAGTCCCTGTCTCCAGAATCAGCCTCAATGACGTGAGAATGAGCTTAGATAATCACACACAGCTCAGTAAAGGAGCTGACAGGAATTTGCTGTGCTTAAAAGGGTCATATGATACTGCTAAAAAGAACAGTATTTTGTGTATTTGGTGTAATGAAATGTGTTTATGCTGTTTAAGGTTAAAAAAACACATTATTTTCCACATACTGTACGTTATTGTTTCTCCTCTATGTCCCGCCTTTCTGAAACGCGTCGATTTTTAGAACGCTCATCAGTCTGAAAAAGCGAGGTGTGCTGTGATTGGCCAGCTATCCAGTGCATTGTGATTGACCGAATACCTCAAGCGTGTGACGGAAATGTTACACCCCTTACATATTGTGATAATGCACTGTCAGGCTGGAGCGATGATTCAAAAACATGAAAACCCATTAGAAAAGATACATTCGTTGCATCCAGTGGGGACATAATTATGGATTATAATGTCTTATACTGTCTTTTTACGCGCTGCGTTGCATCGCGCCGCGTAAACATAAAACCATATCTGCATTTGTGATCAGAGAAATGACAAACAACAAGCACTACTCTACACTGCCCAAAAAACTCGCTTTAAATATATAAAATATAAAAACTCTTTAAATATAAAAGACGTACTTACAGTCTTTGAGTCAGAACAGCTGGCATTGTAGTCTACTCTACCAGGATCAGGAAACAGTCCTCCATAAAATGTGCTGCACACATCTGAATATTTGGGTTGAAGTGTTCTGGACAGTGTTGTAAATACAACTTAACCACTGATTTCAGGTCGTGTCCTCTTTTGGAAGGCCAAACAAAGTAGTTTTACTTTCACAACGAAACAGCATCACCTACAGTGAGCAGAGGCCGGGGGCTAGAGTGAGGAACGGCGGGAGGGTTAGAGTGAGCGGCAGCGGTCTACAGTGAGCAGAGGCCGGGGGCTAGAGTGAGGAACGGCGGGAGGGTTAGAGTGAGCGGCAGCGGTCTACAGTGAGCAGAGGCCGGGGGCTAGAGTGAGGAACGGCGGGAGGGTTAGAGTGAGCGGCAGCGGTCTACAGTGAGCAGAGGCCGGGGGCTAGAGTGAG